ATGTTTTAGGAAACTGCTGAGTACGACACCTCTTTTCAAATTAGTATTCAATTCTAACCACCTAACTCCTTAATTTAAAAAAAAGAAAAACACCAACATACCTTTTGATATTTACTGACAATATATTATGTCCTATGCTTAGCAATTTCTTTTAAAAAGAAAGAAGAAAAGAATTCATATAGTTAGGTCCATACATTTTGCTTTATAGCCAAGTATTAAATAATTTTCTCCTGGATTCTTCTGTGCAGAGTAAAGACTTTGAGGAAACCAATGACCCTTGCTGGCCCTGAGAAGCCTCAGCTGGTGGGACTGCCACCCACCACTGTCCATGGTTCCTGGGGCTTTCAACCCATCCTGAGGCATCCTGCTGCAGCTGTCCCTGCCCCTGCCAGGCATGGGCCTCTCAACCCTATTCCATGCCCTGCCTCCTTTTGCTCCCAGCTGCATGTCTGCAGGGACCCTGACCTGGTTCAGGCTGTGTCAGTGCTGTGTTGGACCCTGGCAGAGTCCAGCTCTGCTCTCCACGCTCACCCCAGCCTGAGAGCACAGCCTGTGTGGGGCCTCTTGGGCTCCTGGCTTGTGCCTGTGTGGAGCAGCTCTTCCCCTGCCACTCCCTGGGACAAGGATACTACAGTGAATTATTTACAAATTGCACTAAAGACTATTTTCATAACTTGCAAAAGGTATCATCAGATGACTCCAACTGGCTTTGCAAAGCAATTGGTTTATGTGATGTCTTATTGGTTCAAGAATACCTTCTGTGAACTTCATTAAATTGTGGGATTTCTTATCTCTAGTGCAAACAAAACCCTTTTTTCTCAGGCTGGGCACTCAGAAAATTGAAGACATATTATAAGATTAGCTCAAACGATTCATCTTGTACCACATAAAAGAAAATGAGAAAGACAGAAATTTTGAAAAAATTGAACAGGAGTTTTAATCTGTAAATGCAAGACATTTATCCAGAATTGAAGTTGGAAGTATTAGCTGCTTACCAAAACAAGGCCTAAACAATGTTTTTAAAAGCAGTCATAGAAAATCAATCCCAGATTTTATTTTTTTTTCTTATTTTATTTTGAGGGGAACTAATTGTAAAAATGTGGAAGAAAGGGTAGACAAAAATCACAAATATGCATTGTGGGGGGCAACAAGAAACCTCCAAAAATAGACAGTGATGTAACCCAGAAATACTCCCAACTACAAAATTTTGCCAAAAGCTTGGTTCATATACAGGAAGCAACATTGTCTTTCTGCAAACAACCGTTTTTTTAGGTGATTTCAAATATGATTTATGAAAAGAAAAAATTGTTGCATGAAGTTCACAAGTTATTTTGTACTAACAGTTTGAAGGAAATATTATAATGTGAAAGAAACTAAATTAAGTATACACAGTAACACAAAGATGCAAGTGAAATATTGACTACACTTCCCATACACTTCCCATGGTCATATCTGATATACTTCTTTTCCATTTATTATTGTTTGTACTGCCATTTAAGTGTCAGGTAAATCAATTAAAAGTTGTTGAGCATTCACTGAAGACATGCAATGACTGCAATTTCAATAAGATTTAATTCTGAGGAAACCAATTAGACAAAGTACAAAACTGGACGATGAGGGACTCAACGTGATGAGCTTCATAAATAGTTGAACTGCAAAATCATTTAATTCATGTAGAAAGTTATTCCACAAGATTAAATTAAAAACCAGAAGTGTCCTTGTCTATCCAAGACAATATTTTAGCTGTCCAGTTATGTATTTTTTCAAATACACATGGTAGCCCCCTGGAAATATTTTTTCCTGTTCAAAAATTAAAGGGAGGGTGAAAAGTGTAATCTGATTGCACTTTCATTAATGTCACTAAGTAAAATGTCAAAATATATTGTCATGCTAGAAGGACAGCTCCTGCAATCAACTGTACCTCAGTAAAACTTCACTTATTTGTAAAAAAAAGAAAACTTCAGGAAACATCACTTCACTAATTACTACAGCAATCTAAGAAAATGAATGCCACTATGAAGGATTTAGCAAAGGTTGCATAATTTCACTATCATGCTTTCTTTAAAGCAAATTCTCCACTCACACAAATGTGTGTTATTCTTCTGCATCTACACTCTGGAAAGATCTTGTAAGTCTTGCAAATGTAGTCTAGTTCAAGCCCTATACTGAGGCTTAATCACCTTTTCCTTTTTAGGTGCTGACTGATTCTTTTCCACATAACTCCTTTCACTGTTCTTCACCAGAATCTAATGGCATCCTGAGTATGCAATACTGAAACATTTAAGCATGACAGGTTTCCTTGATTTTCTTCTAAGATATTAACCTTTTAAAAAAACCTATTCTAAAGCTCCAGCATTGAAGAATTAGTTTAATTTAAAAAGAATCTTAAACACATTTATCTATAAATGCACATATAGCTATATATATGTGTGTATTAGATACATAAACATATATCTGAATGTACATGTGCACACAAATATACATAAACCTTTTCAGCAGTTTGAACAAGACATAAAGAAAAGTAATTCTGCATTACAAGATATTTTCATCTTCCTTTTAACCTAACCTTTTAAACTGTTAACTATCTTCACCTGTTTTCCCTGATGCTTATTTAAACTGTAGCTCAGTAAGTACCATTGGTTCCTAACTGGAATGATAGTTTTATGCTTTGAATTTGTGCAGAATATTGCTCACATACTCCTTGAGACTGCAGTTTAGAGTAGATTCACCAGCCAAAGTTTTGACTGACAGTGAGGGCCTTTTCAGGCTCCTACATCTGAGAAAATCTCAATTTCATCTTTTGAGGAGTGAATTGAAAGGAGAAAAACATGTTGTGGAAGACAACTCTCAAATCTTTTATCTATGGGTTCCCTCTTTCCTGCAGCTGATATCAGAATTGAATCCAAGCACTCATGAAACAGGAAATAGATATGAAAACACAGAAGTACAAAGAAAAACAATTGCATTAGAGATGCATTTCTCCACATCTGCTGTTAACCATTTAAGAGAATTTATATCCTGCAAAAATTTGAGATGTAGAATTTTACTCTTCTAGTTTCCTTTTAGTACCAAGTGACATATTCCTTTTAGTGAACAGATGCCAGATTGTTATGCAATATTTTAAAAAAACACTATCAGTGTATCAACACTTACCAGAAAATATTATGAAAACACATCCTTTTCTTTGAGTAGCATTATGCAAAATAAAATGAAAGTGGATTTTCCCTGATTAGGAACAATTATTACATTCTTCATCACAGGATAAAATCATGTAATGGTTTGATTTGGAAGATCATCTAATTCCAATACTACTGCTATGGGAAGGGACGTCTTTCAGGCTGCACAAAGCCAAGGCTTTTCTGGGAAAATTGTTCCAGTATCTTATTGCATTCTTATTACGGAATTTCTTCCTCATATCCAAAGTTATTATAGATCCATAGAATTTTAAGAGGTTGGAATGGATCTTTAAGATCATTTAGTCCCAACCCCACTCCAGGGACACCTCCCAGCAGACCAGGTTGCTCAAGGCTTTATCCAACTCTCTTTGAACACTTCCAGGGTTGGAGCATCCATGGCCTGTTCCAGTGTCTAACCATCCTCATAGTAAAAGTTTTCTTCCTAATATCTGACCTGAATTTCCCCTCTTTCAATTTGCACCCATTCCCCCTGTACCTATCACTGCAGTTCCTGATGAAGAGTCCCTTTCCAGCTTCCCTGCTGGACCCCCTCAAATACTGGGAGGTTGCAAGTCTCCACAAAACCTTCCCTTCTCCAAGGTGAGCAGCCTCAGCATTCAACTGAAAAGTGCTCCAGTCCTCATCTATGTTCCTTGTTCATGTCCAATTATTCATCTACCAATATCCCCAAGTCTTTCTCTGCAGGACTGTTCTAAGTGCATGGATCCACTGGTCAGTATTGGTACTTAGAACGGACCAGAATGTTACACTTGTCCCCATCTCATTGGACCCCCCTCCAGCCTGCTGGTGTCCCTCTGGATAGCAGCTCTCCCGTCAAGCAAATCAACTGCACCACTCACCTCGGTGCCATCTGCAAACTTGCTGAGGGTGCACTCAATTCCCCTCTCCACATCATTAACAGAGATATTGAATAGTACTTGTCTGAGTACAGACCCTCTGGGGGACACCACTTGTTGCTGAGTTCTAATTGGACTTTAGGCTGTTGACTGCAATGTTTTGGGTGTGGCCATGTGGCCACTGCTTTATTCCTCAAACAGTCCACCCAATCAAATAAATATATCTCCCATTTAACAACAAGGATGTTGTGTGGCCATACCAAAGGCCTCACAGAAGTCTAGGGAGATGACAAATTGACTTACAGAAGTCAAGGTAGATGATACTAAAGATAACTAGCAAATATATGGTAATGTATCTATTGGTATTGTAGAATTATTATGTATTCCATAAACTGCAGCCTTCCAGAACTGAACATCTGGGCTAAGACTCTGAAGTAGGCTCTGATAGAAAATGTTCTGTGGTACATCACACTCTTGACATCTCAAATGGATTTTTTCACTTTTGTAAACCCTATTAGTTAGAAGATGTTCATATGCAAACATATACACAAAAAAATTACCTAATCTATCTTAATTTTCCTGATCACTATAAAAAGCTCCCTGTTGCAAAGATTACAAAAGTTCCATTGCTTCTAGATTGTGCAAACTGAGACCTCTGCTAGATCATGCAAACTGAGACCTCCACAATCTCATATTCACTTTACATTAATTTATCCATGCTCGCATGCTTCTTAATTAATTACTTTCGTTGAGACCAATTTTATGAGGGCTAGATTAATTTCAACAGCTACTTTAACTAGAATTAAAGCACGATATACATTTTGACAGCTATGATTAATTAGAGGAAGCACACCTTAAAGACTAAATAAGAAAGAATCCATAATTTAAAAACATTACCTATAGGTATTTTATCATATATTTTTAATTTATTACTACAAGTTAGATTTTAATAATGTTTATTCTTTACCTTGTCCTAAAGTTTGCAGGGTGAGGATGCCCATCATATAATGACAAATAATCATATTCTTCTTCTAGAGCAAAAGACTGAAAGACGATCTGTATCCTGTTTCTTTCTTCTGCTATTATAACCCAGGTACAGTTTGCACCATTTGGATATCCATATGGGAAGCCAGGGCTTTCTATAGTGCCATTAAGTCCTTTTAAAGTTCCACCACAGGTATAAATAAATCCTAAAAAAAAAATACCAAGGAAACAAAAGTTAATAATCCATTTTATATCAACCTTCAATAGAATACGTACTTAGAATTCATGGTTTCTGAAAAAAATATCAAAATATTTCTTAGCAACTACTGCATTTAGAAAGGTAAAGACCATGTTTTTATAGAAGTGCTGGCCACTTAATGCAAAACAATCCCACCTACCTAACAAATGTGTTTCCCATACTGTTTATCTAAAGACATATGGTAACATTGAAAATAAATGTATATAACAACACCTATGACTAAATTTGTTTGCCTATGAAGCAAAGTATTCATATCAATTACCTTTTTTTGTCAAAGGGAAGAGTAAATAAGTTTCTTTGGATACAGGTCTGATACAGGTTAAGCCTATTAACCTTGTGCATTTCCTCCATGTATCTTGGCTCTGGAGAAGGCTGAAAGACTATTTATTATGAATAAGCTTTTCCCAGTCAATAATTCTGGGTTATGAAAGTTCTGTACTAAAGGGCTCAATCTGAAATAGCCATCTGTTGCATCTTTACATTATCTCATGTAAACATTAACAGTTTACATGTTTTGACAGAGCCTGTGTGGATGTTGTTTAACTGCAGTGATCAGGTATGGCTCCAGAGCTGCTCCCTCACACACCACATCCACACCCCCACTTCCATTCCCCCATAGTGGGATGGAGGAGATAAAGAAGAGTAATAGTGAGAAAACATGTGGGTTGAGACAAAGACAGTTTAATAGGTACAGCAAAAGCTGCACATGCAAGCAAAGCAGATGAAGGAATTCATTGGCTCCTTTGGCAAGCAGGTGCTCAGACACCTCCAGGAAAGCAGGCCTACATCAGACCTGATGGTTACATGGGAAGACAAACACCATAAGCCTGAACATGGTCCCTTCCTCCTTCTTTCCATCAGCTTTTACCACTGACCATACCACTGAGCTGCCATATTTTCTGGAATATCCCTTTTATTGGTTGGGGTCATCTGCATCCAATCTGTGTCCCCTCCCAACTTCTTGCCCATTCCCAGACGTATGAGGAGCAGAGGAAGCCTGGATGATGTGAAGGCACTGATAAAATGTTCAGCCTTGTTTTGGTGACAAATCTAACACATAGGACTGTAGGATCTACCATGAAGAAAATTAAGTCTGTCCCAGCCAAATTCAGTACAGTGGGTCAAAGTTGAAAAGTTGCTCTGTTCATAGATCCTTTTTAAAATTAACATCCTTAAATGTCAGAAAATGCCCCTACATTTAAAGCTTAATTTTTCTTGAATTATATCAAATTTCCTTTTTATACAGAAAATTCATTTCCTCGGAAAAATAAGAGAACAAGAATAATTATTAAAAGTCTCTCCCAAGTCACTGTGTGCTGGCAGGGCAGGTTCTTTTCTATACTTTTGTTTCAAGTTCTAATGCTCAGTTATGGCAATTCTTAACTCTTTTGGGACTTTAGGATAATTTTCTTTTCCACCAGCTTTGTAGTCTGAATGTAGGTCTACATCCCCTCTCCAGGCTTTCTGCTCTCTTACCCCTCAAATATTAGATCAGCTTTCCTGCTTTGCCTTTTGCACCCCTGAAGCTTCTTTTCCCCAAGAATGCTCACTGCAAGCCCCCTCTTGTAGTGCAGGGATTTCATCTGAGAGAAAGCACAAAGCGCTGAATTGCTCTTTCACAAAAACATGATATACATTTCATAACAAACTACAGAAAAACAAACCAGATGCCAACTCTTAAATTATACACACGAGTATATATTTGAGCTCAGTAAATCATCTTCATGGCACGTTCACAAGCTTGTCTTCACATTGAGCATTTAAATGTAGAGAGACCCCTTTCCCTGAAGTACTAAGCAGAAATCTCTTGAGATTTTGCACTTTGTATTACTATGCTGTAAAGTAACTTTTCTTGACAACAGAAGAATGGCATGTATGTTTTTTTTTATCTCAGCTTTTTCATATACATTTACAATGGTAGGAAAAGGTGCCTCTTATGAAGTATGACTGGCTTTTTAATACAATTATTGTATCATAGATGTATAGGACAAAAAGGGAAGGGAAGATACTCTTAGAAAGTAGGTAAGTAAGTACTCTTAGAAATTAGGGCTTTGTTTACCTCATCTGATGTGTAGCAAATTTTATTTTCTACTGCAAGCTACTTAGAGAATTCATTCTCATATCATTGTCTGCACAACCTTCATTGTTAGGAGTCTGTTTTATTTATCTCTTTCTGCATCTCCCTCATATACTTGAACTATTTTTAAATCCTCTTTATGTGTTATTATTTATTATTTAAGCTCAGCTGTTTTATTTAGCACTTTAAAAATCTTTCGGAATACAGTTTTTGCACAAGACGCTCTAGAAAATCCAACTATTTACTCATAAAACCTACATCCTAGAACTTTAACACTTCTTACCAAGTACAATCACTATAATAAGACTTTTAAAATAGCTGCGTGCACATATTTATCAATAATCGTTTTTCTTGAAATCTCTTGCTGAAGCCTGCTTCAATAAAATTACAGAAAAAACTTAGAGAAAAACTTGAAAATTAAATAGCGTACACTGTTAATTTCCATCCATCTCTCCAGACCAAGTGTGGAAAGCACTGTTTATACTGACTCAATAATACAGGTTCATAATTCAGATCCTTTGCTACGGTACTTATTTTATTTTCAATTTTTACTTTCAATTACATATGGACTATTCTGTTAATTCAATAGATACTACAAAGGAAAACTCATCTATAATAGGTCTACTGTCACCAAAATAAAATTATATTTTTTAAAACTCCAAAAACAAAACACCCTCCCCCAAAAAACAACAAAAAACACCAACCAAAAAAACCCAGAGCAAAAACTATGAGGGAACAGAGACTTGTGAGATAATATGCTACTTATTAAGGAGTGTAATGCTTCATACTCAATGCAATAATTAGTCCTACTCATACATTGATATGAAATCCATGACATATGAAAGTTCCAATTACTCCTTTTATTCCATATTCAAAATGTGACAAAAGAGAATTATTCATATGCTGCAAGATGCTATAACTTGGATGTTTTTCAGAGATGACTAGCAGAATGTAGCACAGCTATGCACGTGTCAGAAGATACACTTTTAATTCCAAGAATGGGAAAAAAAGCCCCAAACAAACCAACAGTGAAGTTTGATTTTGATAGGTCTGCTCTTCTAGTCTGTAAAATAAAAAATCATGCCAACAGAATTCATGTGCACAACATGCACTTTAATCTCTGCTTTCATATGTTAATACATTCTGTGATGCTCTTCACCTTGGCAGTGCAACTTGGGTATGATCAAAATAGACAGTGTGCATTAACTGACTGGTCTGATCAAATGTGGAAAACATGACATTTATTTTCAAGAGGTAAAATTCATGCTGAAATAACTGGTAGCATATACTGTGATCTTTTTCATTTGGATTTCAGAACCAGCATTCCAAGCAGAATTTACATTCAAACTGCTTTTCATAAAAGGGAAGGTTTTATTCAAAGAACACAATAAAGAATTTTGAAAAGCTTGAAGTTAGACTAGAAAAGAAAAATTCTTGTTGAAATAAGTATAAAGATGAACAACACCACTCATGAGATTCTCTTAACAGCTAGTATGATTCAAAGTTTCTGTTGCATTTTTTATACCAGATTTTAAAATTCAGATGTTTAATTCTCATCAATTTTACATGCATAAATAAACTTCTTGAAATTGGAAAACACAGCTCCTCTTCCTGATTTCAGTCATCCTTTGATTCATTGTGGAATTATTGTAAGCATCAGTAACAGCTGTTCTTAATCCATTTATTCAACTTTCATTGTCTTATAGCAAAGCAATTAGTTCTTACATCATGTCCATCCCCCTTGCCCTTGAATGTCCCATAATTACACTCACTCAGTACTCAACAAGATTGTCTTTGGCTTTTTCTATTCCTCCTGACCAGTCAATTATACTGTTTAATAACATTTTTCCACACCTTTCACCTTACAAGTACTCCACACCTTTCATTTATTCTTAATCTCCCTTGTTTAGTGTATTCTTTAATAGCACTCATTACTATAAGATAATTATAATGAGTCTGCATTGATTAACACACTTGTACATTTCTAAGCTGCTTGTGTATTTCCTTTCAATTAAGTTTTTAATACTTTCTTTCTTTTAAGAGAAAACCAAGAAAATGGAAGATGATTTGTTCATATGCTGCATTTTTCTTCAATATCTTTTCTGATAATGTGATCTCCTTTCATTTCTTACACTTGCAGCTATCTTAAAACAGTCAATCTTAAAGTATTCCTTAGCCATGTTCACATCCCTTTTTGCAACAATTTGTGCAACATACCTATTTGCAAAATTATTCTTGTCCCCCTAAATGATAGTTCTCTTCCATTCTACTTATTCACTTGTGTCTCCTCATGCTCATCACATGTTTCTCCAACACCTTTTTCTGTTTGTGGTCTTTGATCACCTGACAGTATTTCGCAGCAAAAAGTAGTTTTTTTTCTTGGTGACCATTAATCAGTACAGACTGTTCTGCTAATTCTTTTCTCTTTTGCTGGGTTCTCTTTCTGTTCACTTGTATTATCATCACCTTAGTTTTTATGGTTCCTCTATGTTGAAAAGACTTGAAAGAATCTACTGGAGTTCAACAGATACAGGTTTCATAGTGAAAAACTCATCCCTATGCTGTGAATCCTTTTCTTCTGCTATCAATCTTATCCAGTTTTGGAAAATATATACTCAATATTTATTTCTAATATTCTAATATTTATTTCTAGCTCAACTTTAATCGTCCTGACGAGCCTCACCCCCAGATCTTCAAGCCCATTTATAAAACTGAGAATAGGATGCTCTCATCAGATGTGATGGCTGCATTTTACTTTGAAGTGTGTTTGAAATTTACCTTTTTATCACTTCTCATTGTGTCTTAATTCTCTTTAATTTATGCTTTCCATTCCAATTATGCATCTTTTCTGCATGAAACAAGCCTCCTTT